GAATTGAACACTGAGAGAAGGTTAGAGGTCGAACAGGAACTACCTCTGAAGATGAGATTGAGAGGGGTGGAGAAGCCCAAATCTCAGTAGAATAAAGAAGGCTGTGAAGAATAGAAGCGTTCAGTGTCGACAGATAACGACACTGGCTCATCCAAAAACCTACTGGGTGGATGTGGATGGAAGGGATGGGGGCGCAGCTTGCACCTCGCAAAGGACGGAAGAAGATTATTGGCATTGCTGACTGGCCAGCAGTAGTGTCATGAAGTTACGGCCTTTGGAGGGGGGCCCCGAGTGCCTGTCCGGACCATTCAATCTGCTAGGAGTTAGTTAGGGGAGGGAAGAGCTGAAGGGTTACAAACTTAGAAAAGAAATTATGGAATAGTTGAGTGAAGAATTGAACAAGACAGAATGGTTAAGAAGAATAAAAACAAGAGAATCTTGTTGCCTTGCAGGAATGACCAAAATGAAGGGGTTGATGATGATGGTGGTAGCCACACTGATGATGACGATGGCGGAAGCTTGGAAGCACAGCCGAAATACCATTTTTAAAAAGACGAGTGAAGTAATAATAACCAGGTCGAAATGGTTGATCACATTCGTGATAGATTTAAAACCATACGAGTCGCTATTAAATAAACTAAGAAATGAGCTAAGGCAGCTGGATGCAGCCCGGTTGAAGGTAGGGCAAGATTATTCCAAGGAGAAAGGATATCTCAGATTATTACATTCCCTAGAATTGGAGGCCACTATGATAGAGGCTCAATGGAGGGACATGCAAAATTACCTGAAGGAAATAGAGCTACTGCAGACGAGAGAAAAGAGATCGGTAGTTCCGATTGTGGGAAAAGCGTTAAATGTCCCGTTTGGAACAGTGACTGAAGATGATGTTAAATTCATAAGAAGAAAACTGGGAGAAGTGGAAATAAACCAGAGGACGCTGGCTCAAGTGGCAAGGGAGAGTGTGACAATATTAAATGTGACATGGTTGGAGTGGCCAAGAATAGAGTCAGAATTGGTTAATAAATAACCTAGCAGGGTTGAGACAAGAGGTAATTAATGATACAGAAACTCTAATGATGGAATTACAGGAAATAAGTGGATTTATGCAAAGATATTTCCAATTAATGACAATTATGAATACGGTACAACAAACTAGTCAGTCGTTGACAACCTTGCTGGAACATGTGAGAGCGCAATTAGACATGTTGTCATTGGGACACCAGTCCCCAAGCATAGTAAACCCAGGTCACTTAAGGGAAGTGCCTCTCAGAATACAGACTGAGTTACCCCATCATTTGAGACTGCCAGTGGATCCCACCAAAGGATTGTGGAAATATTATAATGCGCTGGGATGTGTGACCTTGTTGGAAAATAGAAAACTATTGGTTTTGATGTCTATTCTGTTGTTGGATAGAGAGAGTATATTCAAGATATACCAGGTTATAAATTTACCTATTCCCTACCCCAGAAGAGATCAAGGTTTGGGAATGGTGGCAAGGTACAAGGTGAAAATGGAATACATAGCTTTAAATTCAGGTAGAACAAAGTTCATGTTGCTAACAGCTGAAGAAGCTAGAAAGTGTAGAAATGATGCTCTGGGGACTTGTACATCATTGAGCCCCATCTATGTAGCTGGTAACCACAAAATGTGCATACTAGAATTGTTTGAAGGGAAGAAAGAGGGAATTAAGAGAACTTGTCAAGTAGAGGTATTAGCAAACACGGCATTACCACAAGCTATCACTGTTTCAGACGGGGTGTGGGCAGTGGCCACACAGAAACCTATCAGCTTGTCTAGGGTATGTTGGGGAGAGTCCACAAGGACACTAAGAGTAAAACCACCATTATCCCTGTTAAAGTTACCCCTGGGATGTTCGGCATTTGGGATATCTATTTCCTTACCCCCTATTACCAGGAAGAAGAAAGATATGAAGAGAAAGATTCAATTATAGAATTGATTGGCAGAAGCTTAGTCAATTGTGGGAGCCAAAGTGAGGGGATTCCCCAATGTTACCTTGAATAAAATGTCAGTACTAATGAAGCCGATAGAAAAGATCGATATGGATCAGTTGAGGGACAAGTTAAGTGCGTTGGGAAAGGAAGGTATTGCTTGGGAGGATGATGAGCAGATCGCGATAAGTTGGTCAGCAATGATGGGTACATTCATAATTATCGCCATAGGGGGTATGGCAGTATGGAAAATTAGAAGTAGGAGAGAATTAATTCGTGGTAATCAAATGAGCATGCAGCAACTCGAGAGGGAGATGCCGAGCAGTGTTCTTTACCCATACAGAACCAACAAGGAAATTGCAGAAAAGCCAACAGAAGAAGCTAAAGTGGAACTGACACGTATGGCGGAAAAACCTCCTGTAGCAGAGAGAAAAACATTTGACCAAGAAAAACAAGCCATAATAACCACACCATACAAAACATACACACATTAAATTGCACAAAAGAACATTACATTGCATGTAAAACAGAAGAAGATGAAAAGAACTTTAAATTGCATGAAAATGAAAAAGAAAATGAAATGGAACATTACATTGCATGTAAAACAGAAGAAGATGGAAAGAACTTTAAATTGAAAATGAAAATGAAAAAAAAATGAAAATGGGAACATTGCATTGCATGAAATAGAAAAAAGAAAAAAAAATGACGGATCACGAAAGAAACCGTGAAAAGGAAAAAGAAGAATAAAAATTGCATGGAACAGAAAATGATGCATGCTAAAAATAGTGTATTGGGATTTTAGATTGTCAAATTTAAGTAAATGACAAAATAGGTTGGGGAGGATTGTGTAAACACTATTTAGCTATGGTAATTGACACTATTAACTAATTAATTAATGCATAGAAATTAAAAACAGGAAATACTTAAGGCGAGAAAAGAGCTATATCGAAAGATAGACTGAGCGACACGTCAAAAAAAAAAGATTTTATTTTATTTACAAAGAAAGATACGGGTTTTTGTAATGAGACACAGAAAATCAGTAAGAAAAGCAAGATATGGGATTCTGTCAAAATTGATTAATGTCAAGGATAAGGGAGTGATGCGCCAAGGGAAACAGAATTCTAAAAGATAAACAAAGCCAACCGACACATGGCGGCCATAAAAAAAATTTGGCTTGAGACACATGTACAGGCAGAAGAGAATAGATATTAATTATCTTTCAGAGATATCATTTAATTTTAATTCCTGGGTCCAACCTTCCCGATGGGGAAAGCCATCTGGTGTATGTGTTAATCTTGACATGAAAAAAAAGAAAAAATGGAAATTATTATTATTGCTTATTCAAACTGTTGACGTCAGATCTTGAAAATGAGCATCTGGTGATAAGAAAATTTTTAAGACATGAGAAAAATAAAGAATTTGATTTCAGGTAAAAAACGGACCACCCAGTTAAAAGTTGATTTAGCAGAGAACCCAGATGTGGGTTTTTTGACAGTGATTGATGAGTCAGAGAGAGGTCTGACTAAGTGAATTTTGGGTGTCCCAAAAGAAAAGATGAAAATAAGAATTAATTGGCAATCTGGGATTTGTAAAAATTTTGGCCGATGGAAAAGAAAAAAAAAAAAAAAAAAAAAGGATTTTTGTAAACAAAATTCTGGATAATAATTTTAAGAGGGCTAAGTCTAGCCACACCCACACTGCCGAGAGATCATTGGTCAAGTGGTAGCATGGGTGATAGGCGGAGGTGAATGTATGAGAAAGACGGAAAGTTGTTAACACCCACTGAGGGGATTGGTATGAGATACCAATGTGAGAGAGGAAGAGTCTAGGAGGATAACTCTCCTCCGACCTTCCTCACGGACGAGGGAGAAACCCCGAAATGGAAAGTGATTAATCTTCCAAAAATGGAAGTAATTAATTTTCCTGGCCTAAGAACAAAGAGAATTTTGTTGGGAATCGAGAATTGTCAAAGAACCCAAACCACGTCAGGCCCCCACACTGGGTTTTGGTCGGTGTCCATATAAACAAACGTCCGAGGCAGTTTTCTAAAATTCAAAGTTTAGCAGTTGACTTTGGAAAGAGTTGCAAGAGTCTTGTGCTTGGCAGTTGAGTTGATTCAGTCAGAACAATGTTGCCTCGCAGAAGCTGACTGAAAGATTTCCACGCCTTTCGACTTAGTCTTCCTACCAAAAAAGCAAGTTTTATTGACGAACGACTTAAGATACCAAAACTCGCTTAAGAAATTTTGTAAAAAAGTGTCATGAAATCCATAGAAACGGGCTGGAAAGAGAAACAATATTCTGTATTTAACAGATAGATAAATACAATAAATTGTTATTTTCTTTTCAACATATTTAATTTTTCTTGAGTTTGTTTTATTAAATATAAATTGTGTAAACTTATTCTTGTGTATACATTTTCCTCACACATGTTTCCAACTAAAAATAAGACTCAAATTTTATTCCCCATAAATGAAAGGAACTTAATAAATTCCAAAAGAAATATATCTGGGATATTCCATCAAATGTTTTTTTCTTTAGCCTATATCTCTAGAATTTATTCATAAATAAAAATTTGTGTTGTTGTGTTTGTTGGCAATAATAAAAGCCAACACCTACAAAACAAATTATCAGTATTCTTAATAAAACTATCAATATTATAAACTGAAACCCATTTCCAAAATGTGACCATATGTCAGGAATTTGATGTGTTTTTTTATTTGATTGTTTTTAAATTGTTTTTGGTTGTGCCAAGAATCTTTTAGTACCCTCTCATAATAATAGGATCAAAACAATCACATGGCTGGAGGATGGCTTTGAATTGACATTGAGAACCGGAGACTTGTGTCTAACCTATAATACTGCCCCATACTGAACCAACAGCCAGTCTTGTGATGTGCGTGGGTCCAGTTGGGTGAGGGTACAGTGTTACACAAGCACAGATCAAAGCATCATGATAAATTTGGTTAAATACCCTGTAACTATTCAAACTTTCAAGTGTGATACTGACAAAATGATTTTGTTTACTAAAGAAATCAAAAAAGAACTTACATGTTTTTTGGTCCAAAAGATTTACTGAACCTTGTACACATTGATCTAAGGGAAGTTTTTCAAGGCAAATTTGAATTAGTGCTCCAACAGGATCTCCAAACAATCCTTTCCGTACTTCCTTAACCAGCTTCTGACAACTGCCTGATATTTTCACAACTGATTGTTGTTTTTGACAGTCACTCTTTTCACAGGATTTTTCAGATTTTTTTTGTGAATTAATTTTACAATAATCATTTCTTTTTGTCTTTTTTAAAAAATTTGTTCTGCCAGATTCTTTAACTAGATTTTGAATACAATATCCATTTTTGTCTTTCACTGAAATATCATTCATGTTAAATACACTGTCAGACAGTTTTTCTAAAACGACACTTAATATTCGATTGTTCAGTACCTTTGAAATAGTGTGTATATTCTGGCAGTTTCTCTGAGAACATTTCATTTTAACTAAATCATTGCAGTTACTGAAATTCATACTGGATTGATTATTTTCATCTTTTGTAGTGTCATTTTGACTGTTTGAATTCCTGGTATTTCCCATACAACTCTCCTCCTTTACATTTTTGTTACTGGTATTGCTGACAGTTTTGTTTTCTTGCAAAAATTTTTCTCGAAGTTTAAAACGTTCAGCACGTGACAATTGCTTAGGTTGTTCAACTGGTTTTTGTTTTGAAGGTAATTTCATCCGTGCTAGCTTTTCAGCTTTCTTTTTCTTGAAAACATCTTCTATCAATTCAAAATCATTTTCACTTTCACCAGAAGAATCACTTATATCATCATCATCATCATCATCATCATAAGAGTCTAAACCACTGAATGCTTCTTGAAATACTGTAAAAGATAGAAAAATATTTGTATATATCATGTAAATATCCTACAAAATAATTTTATAAGCTTTAGAAACATATCTAAATCCATATATCACGAATAAAAGAAAAGGTATTTTAATCAGGTCCAAAAATGTATTACTTTTCAGTTATATGCAATCAATTACAAATACTCTATCAACAAATTTTTTTGTATTTAACTTTTGTAAATAAAGTTGGAGGAGAAACTGACAGTAAATATATAAAAAATCTGGAAAACTTCTATTTGGCATGTTTTACTAATGTTTGAATTTTACTTCAACTGTATTATTATAGAAATTAGATTCCAACTAATTTCAACATTTTTATTTTATTTGTTTTTTTTTAATTTTTTTCATCACCTGTTATTACTAATTTAATAGTGAAACAGTGTGGGATATATAAACCTTGAAGTAAAAACCAAGCATTCAACTGCTTAACATGAATCATGTTTTGTCTCATCAATGTAGATTTTGATCTTGTGAATTTTTTTTTGAGGACGCCAGTTCCTCAGTGAAACATGTCAAATTGAAGTTTTCCAAATCATCATAGAATAAATTCCAATTTTTGTTAATAAAAAAAGCTTTACATAGAAGCATTGAAGACTATATATATATATATATATATATAGTCTCCACTAAAATAATATTTATGAAAAATAAAAATCTATCGGATTAATAAATAAAAATTCTATCCCCATTCTTTTAAAGGGGTGCTGTAAAGATTTCAACCCAACAAATCATTTGGCCAAACTTTGAGAAGTTGAGTCAATAATTTTTTAACATCCCTCCCTTACATACACACATACATACAGAAAACAGTTCATACAAATACTACTATAGAGAAAAGTGTATCAAAATTTTCTTCTTGATGCATTCACTGATCCTACAGTATTCTCAAAGTAATTTTATGATAAAACTGCAACATCCTACTTTGACAGGAAATATATTATCTAAATATATTTCCTATCTTTTTCATACAGGTCCTATTTTCTTGCAAGTTTCTAGGCCAAAATCTGAATATTTACTGGGTGTTCAGGTTAAATTTGGCAGTTTTTTTAAAAGGGAAAAAGTGAATATCTAAGCTCAAAATAAATTTATTGGAAAAATAGAAAAGGGGTATACAGGTTATAATAATCAAAAGACAATTCACTGAAAGAACCCACCCACAATATCTACCATAGCCTCAATCCAACTCCGGAATCTGACACATGCAGCCTAGGGAGAGCCTTAAACACCTCCTTAATCCTATCAATCAGCTGGGCCTTGGTGTTACAGGCACTGCAGATAATGTTTTTCTCAACCGCGCCTCATACATAATAATCCATGGGATTACCATCAGGGGAATTAGGAGACCAGATGATGAGGCTGATGAAGTTGTAAAAATTATGTGACAACCACTTCTGACTCTTACCGGAGGTGTGGCAGGGAGCTAAATCATACATATGGTCTACCAGCTGCCACCCACTCCAACCAAGGCTTGACAAACTCCACATCAGCCACCCAAATTGAGCCTGAGGCCCTGTTTAAACTTGTGAGGTGGCATGACATCAACCTCACTGGAGACACACTCAGTTTGGGGAAAGTTGGTCTTCATGATATGAAGAACATCATATGGATTGTAGGCAAGTCATCTGTTGTTCTGGGTGTTGTGCAGCTGGTCCAGACAAAAATTCTTTTCATCAGAGAACAACCAGATTGCCCCTGGTTCACTTTTTCTTTGTCATACTGTTTTTCTCAAGTCTTTTCTGAAAGAAGATGATTTACACCTTTTGTAGCAGCTTCATGGTGGAAATGGAAACACCTATTTCCAACACCAAAGCCCGCAATCACTTACCTAGTTCTTCCATCACTTTCTCCTGCAACTGTTGGATGAATTATGGTGTATGGAGACCAGAACATCTGCCATGTTTTCATGTTTTCCTGTTCTTTCTTGCAAGCCACAGTCTCATAGCCATGGTTGCAGCTCTCCATTTCACGTTTTACTGTTTTCACAGTGTTCAAAGAGCATTAAGCAGCTGACATGATTGCGGCATTTTAATGCCCAGCATGAATCATCATGATGCAGGTTACCTTTTTCCAATATTTAGGTGGTTTCCACTCATCCATGTCAGTTAATTTTAACACCTTTAAAACTGTAGTAATTAGGTTTCACAATGCTGTTCACTGTTTACAGATATGAAAAAATAAATACAAACTGTCAAATTTAGCCTGAACACCCTCTAAGCCAGGAGAGAACCATGTCCAAAAACAATGAGTCACATCTCTTTAACAACACTTAAGAAAATTGAAAAGGGCATCAAGACAATTGATCTCTTATGCCAATCAATGTTAGCTGTCAAATGAGTGCAATTTAATAATTGTGTAATAAAGAACAAGCTATCCTGGATTACTTAAATATCTCTTGAAGCTTTTATGGCAGTATTGAGATTCTTTTTCTTTTAAAAGCATATTTTATTAAAATAATAAAATATGCTTTCATAAACAAGTAAAACCACTTTCTATATTTTTTTGCATTATATGAAAACAAATATTCTATTATTACTAGACATTATAATATTGTAAAAATACTGGAATAGTTGGAGATAAATTTAATAAATTGATTTTCTGATTGCTTTATGGACAAGTCCGTTATATAAGTATGTCTCTTACAGATTACCAGGATATTTTCATTTCATACATAGCATTATTTTAGGAATTCAAGAATAGTCTTTAATGTTACACTCATCACCAAGTTTTTAAAACATCCCCTTAGAATTCAGTTTTATTTGGAGAATTGCAATATATTTTTTTTAATTAAGAAAAAATTAAATCGGTTGACTAATTTATGTTTGTTATATTCCGTGCTAAGGGAATAAATACTGAACACCAGGTGGATAATAGAAGAAAGGTTTATTGTACACAATCAGTACAATATGAAATATAGTAGTTATACACACAGGTCAATCTAGTAGTGACGTGTTTGTGTCTTCTCTCTCTCACTCTTTCCCTGCAGTCTCTTGTAGACAGTTGACTTTATAGGTACTTACTACCTATGGTGTAATCATTCATGGGGGTGACTGGTTATTCCATTACATCAATGTTATAAAAATATTTGGGAAGTAGATAAGAAATATGACAGAAATCCTATTTTTCAAAGATTTGGATAGGGAGGCAATTTACTTCCACCCTTTTTTTTTCTGGAGAAGGGAAGCTATTACAAGTTTATCGTCCTGGGCAACGTCTTTTCTCGTTTATTTTTTTCTTTATTTTTTGTAGAGAAAAACCAGCTTTGCCAACAAACATCTTTTAAACAAGAGAATTTTTTTTCCTGAGTTGCTCCCATTTGATCATCAATCTAGCATAGAGTATTTCAAAGCAGACGATTTCAAATTAGAAGACAAATTCCGCAAAATGGATTCCGAAATAAAACCAAACATTTTTTTAAATAAATTTACTTGGTTCTTTAAGAACTTTTTTTTTTTTTTTATGAAAGTCTAGAAGAGTTTCTCACTTTCTAGGCACTTTTTTGCAATGAAACCTGGTACTTTTTACTCCTTCCACTCCAATTATTTGGGGAAAAACGTTTCATTTTTAAACAAATTTCTTTATTTGTTTTTAATATACTAAGAAACTGGGACACCTTGAAGTACCCGAATGGTGGCTAACACCTCTACCAGATGTATGAGTTAACAACTGATCTTGTTTCAAGCTCAGAAGGGCATAAAAATAGGTACCTCCAATAATTCGCTTAAAAAAAAAAAACAATGTTTTAACCTCAAAATGTTTATGTTATTATTAAGAGGATACAAGGAACAAGATATTTTAAAATTATTTTTAATAATTTTTTCCTCCTTTCTAACACATTCTAAATTTGACTCAAAAATTTTGTTTTTTTGTAGGGGTCGACTTTGTGACATTTGTGGTAATGAACATTTTTAGTGCAGCAGTTTCCAGTGTAAAACATATTAATTTGGAAATTCTTGCAAAAATCAAATAATTGTCTGATTTTCATGAAATTTTCAGGTCTTATTAAAAAATGAATGAATTTATTTGAAATTTTTATTTTTTAGAAAATCTTGGTAAAAAAAATTTTTTTTTTTTTTTACATCTATTATCTCACCATAACTTAATTTTATGAAATTTTCTAGAATTTCAAACAATTCACAAATTGTTTTATATTACTTATAAACAGGACTCCTTGGAGAAAGTAAATCAATTTTTTTTTTCACAACTACTTCCAACTTTTTAAAAATCTGCTCCAAATCGTAAAATAAAAACTGAAATAAAACTATCTAATTAGATAGGCTTTTATTTGTTTTTATGAATAATATACATTAAGGAAATTATTGTCTGAAGAAAAAAATTTTTTCGATGAATAATTAATTTTTACAAGGATTGTTTGCATTTTTCTTTAATTTTTCAAAAATTGTTTTCACTTTTCTTTAAGTTTAAAAAATGTTTTAAAATTCTTCCAAACAGAGTACAAGATAGTTTATTAAGTTATTAATTGAAGACTATATTTACTAAGCAAAAACTAAAATCTTAATACTCCAAAAACTTTTTACCATAATTAAAAGATATTTTTTTTTGTGCATCAGACTGTTATATTTTTTTTAGTATGGTGTATCATAAGTGATTATGGTTAAAAGGTCACGTCTTTCAAGGCTTGTCTCCATTAGAGAAAACTCCTCAACATAAAGGTTTTCACCTGCAAGCAATAGTATCATTTCACTTCCGTGTTTCATCGTCCCTACATTTCAACACGCTTTTTTTTTAAATCTTGAAGGGAAGATTTCTAAAGATTTTTTCCTGTTTCACTAAATATTTTTAATTTTACTATATATTCATCTTACTTTATAGTATATACTTTTCATAGTGTGTGTCAAGCATAATTTGTTTTATTTATTAGTTATTTATTTAGTTATGAAAAATAATTTAATAATTTTTTTTAATTTATTTTAAGTTTCTTTTCTTTTTTGCAAGTTAAATAAAATAACTAACAATT